GATATTACATCATTCTTGTAGGGACAGATCAAAGGTCTCCATGTTGGACAGTTTTATTCCCATACCTTCAAATTGCTCTTCAGCAATCACACTGATATTTCCAATCTCTTCCCCAGACTGTGAATGCTTCATTTCCAGTTCCATAGCCTTCAGGGTTTTCTAAACAGTTCTGTTGCGCAAGGGATATTTTCCCCCCCTCAATTTCAGTCAGCCGGCAGCTGCGATATACCTTTGAAGAGGGTGCAATGCCTCTCGTTTCCAATTTCCCATACGCTTTCTCTCCTACTTGCAAAGCCTTTCCTGAGGCCGTGTGGGGCAGGCTGGGTGGGCCGGTACATGTTGTTCTCATCAGCTGATCTCAGGTATCTGGTAATATTTTGTCAATGTTAATTCAAAGTGAGATCTATTTTTTTACCTTTACCAATTTATTCTATAATGGGTCTGCACATTCAGCTGCTGGAAACCAGCCTGCACGTGCAGTAACCTTGGATGGTGCTGGGTATAAAACCCTGTTCATAATGCATATACCTCTTCAAAACATCATGCTGGGAACCAACCTTGCACTTGGTCTTTTCCACAGATATCCCAAGAGAAAGGAGGTGCCGTTATGTTCTGTGAATTGGATCTTAACAGTGCATACTGTACCCCATTCCCAATTATGAGCCTGTATTTATTGGTTTTGTAATTCTGAGATGAGAGTCACTTACAGTTTCTTGATTGGCATATAGTTGGTTTTGACACAATAACTGAGAGCCAATACACTCCAAACTGCCATGCTCATTATTGAACATGCTCATCTCTCTCAAGCAAGGGAAACGGAGTAAATTATTTGAGCAGTGGAAAGGGGATATGTCGGTTGAAAAATACATTTTTTGTGAGCCCGTACTGGATCTAACAATACAGATGTTGGCAGGAATGAAAGGAATCCCAGTTCAGTTTTGAAAAAGGTATATTTTCACAGAGAACATGTCTCTTCTGGGAACCTTTAATTTAATGTACATTGGTTTCCTATTTTAAGAAAACAATTTGCTGTTGAACACTATGCCAGCCAGACTTACATTTTTTAAGCAAAAACTCTTTGTCCTGAAGTATTTTAATGGCCTAAAAAGCAGGAAATTGCCTGTGACATTTCAGTTTTTCCATTTGGAGGGAAAAATGGTCCAAGTTCTAAAAATAGTGCTCTCCTGCAAAACACCCTCCCTCTCATCATTGTAATATACCATAAGCCATGTGACAACAAAGACATTTCTTTCTGAGCCTAGCGTTGTTTTTAATCAGCTAAAACAGCAACTAAGACTGTCTTCATGTAAAACTGCTGACTTGAATAAAAATTTTGTTTACTGACTTCTTAACCTCAATAATTTGATGACCTACTCTGCACTGCGATGTCTCCGGTTCCTCCCTCTTCCTTTACCTGAACATAAATGATGTTGGTCAGAATTGCATATTCACCTGGAGAGAAAATCTCGGTGGGCTGCGCTCTCGGCTTGTTTTAGTACTTGGCACTTTTCAGCTCCATCCACTATTTGAGCATCCATCTTTGAGAGGAATATTGAACATATATTCATATACATTTTGGTCTGCGGCCATGAATGGATGGGTGAGGTAGATGGTATGCATAAATAAGGTTAACAAAACGCATCATGTAGTAGATTAATGCCAAGGAGTACGTTATGGAGGTGAAAGATGGGTCCTTTATCATTATGCCTACGCACCCAGCAGAACTCAAAGGGAGCCTTGGTATTCAGATCATTGCCCCAGCGCTGAATTCAGACATGTGAGTGAATCACAAGATACTTGTTTATTGTCAACTCAGAAAAAATAAAGCGAGACTGGTTTATGTGTAGACTGAGGCCAGCGTGGAGACATTCCTAGACAGGGTGGAGCCCACAAGGCGAGCGGTGCTGTCACTGGGGAGGCAGCAGGTCCCAGTCTGCGCTGAGGCTGGAGATGGAGCTGCGTGATATGATCTCTTCAGTGGTGAAATTTTCTTTAGAGGTTCTTGCCCCTTATCTCTGCCTCAAGGCCCCGACCACCCACTCCTGTCTTTGCACTACAGCTCGCTGCCTCTCCTCAGCTGTGCTGCTACAAATGATTGTGGGGCCAAGCTATAGCATAGCTCCCTAAAGTAATCTAGGTTAAAAATAGCCTTCCAGAAAAGTTTTACATTTTTGAGTTTTAAATTGAAATAATTTCAGCCGCTTGATTTTGCAGACAACCCTAAAAATAGCTGTACAAGCACAACTGAAATGGGAACAAACTGACCTACTGAAAGGTAACTTAGCTTCTCAAATTCTGAAAGAAACATGTCATGGAAAAATGCACAAAGAAACTATGCCTCCTCGCTGGTGAAGTAAAAGCACAGGGGCTTTACTTTCCTCCAATACCAAAATCTTAATAAACACAAACATTCGCTAAAACTTAATGAATCACACAGCCTTGAGGGGTCAAGATTAGACAGGTTCGCTTCCATTGCAATCAATGGAAGTTTTGCCTCTGCCTTGTTTTGAGCGAAGGTTTTTTTTTTCTCCTATATTTTCTTCAGGGAAAGACTGGGAGTTTGGTATTTGACCATAGAGTGTATTTTATCATATAGCAGCATATAATCTGGACCATGTGACTATTGATAGACTCCTGTATTAGAGACCTAGGAGGTACAGTGGGAAAGGACATGTAGAACTCCATCTAGATCACCCCTCTCCACTGAGACGATAGACTCGACTCATATTCATCGTGTTCATGACACTATTTCTCTAAACATATTTTTACAAAATGTAATTTTAAAAACCCTCACATCTTCTTAGGTAATCTATTCCCGTGTTTAGCTGGGGAATTTCCTCCTCATCTAGCCTACGTCTGACACACTACCAGTGTTTCCTAGCCACACATCAGGACAGATCAACAGAATCCCTGGTGGAAACAGCAGAGACTTGACGCGTGTCTGATGTTATTTGTTGCTTTTTCTTTTAGCCAAGAAGCATGAATGTAAAGCCAACCCAATCATTTAGTGAACATAGCTAACAAATACAGTTGGGGTCATTGGCATTTCTGTGCGTACATGAACTCAAAAAAAAAATTGAAGAATCCATCATATTCTGTTAAAGTTCAAATTCCTCACCAGGGAATATCGGTGGTTTACTAGCGTGGGGAAATGCTGGCATAAACACATGGATAGGTATTTTTATCCTTACAACTACAGTAAGATAAAATCTAATATTATTGTAGGCCCTGTGGGAAGAGATAACAGTTCTATTGACTTGCACATTTAAAAATGAAACCTACCAACATAGTAAAGGATGTATAGTAGAAATCAAACTAGAAACAATATACAATAAAAAAGCTATTAAATCACTTGCCTGCATTGAAACACCACTTGAAAGTGCTTTACAGTATTGTAAACAGCCAAAAGAGAAACCCTTGCAGCAGATGAAAAAATTACCAATGATGAGATAAGCTGCTGTTTCAGAAGAGGCTGGAGGGCCAGAGAGGAAATGAAGGTGCTGTAGAGATTCTGGATAGACAGACAGTACAGCAAACTCGAGACCATGTGGAAGATATGGAGAAAAAATTGGACTGCTAGGACAAGTTGAGGTAGTAACAGCTACAAGCAAGAAGACCTAGTTTGCTGGTATTTTACCTTTTCTTGTAATGTACAAGAATTACTACATTTTTGATTCTTTCTCTGAATTCGTGAGTGTTTGAGAAAATAGAGGACAATTAAAAGAGTAAAACCCAATCACTTTTAGATTCCTGTAGCATTCCTTTAAAAGTGTAATAAGTTTTTGAGAAACCTGTTTTCAAGAGATCATCAGTTTATCAACACTGTTTATTCATTCCTCCCAACCTCTTCATTATTTATTTTTAATTGCCCTTATTGCAGTGTTTGGGACATTTATCTTTTTTTTTTTTTTTAAATGGCGATGGCATATGAAATACCACTTAAATGACATGTTTATTTCACCTAACTTTACCTAGCTTAGGTGAAGTTTGGTTGCGTATGCCAGAGTTAGCAACTGTAGTTATTACAGCTGTTACAGTAGGTCAAGAGAAACAGATTTTTAGGGAGCATGTAGTCTCCCAGTCATTAGAGACATCTGTTTCGGAAAAAGACTGCCTTTGTCTCTACATTGACCATAAACGGAGCCTGAAGTGACCGGTTTAGTTATAGGGTCTACATCAGATGAATCATACTCTGAAAGTTGTACAGAATATTCCTGGTTACTGAGAGCACTGGTTTTGACGGCAGTTTTGTAATAACTTGCAGAAGTTGTTTCCGTCTTTTGCAATACCTTTGGATTCGGTGAAGTGTCTGATGAAGAAGCAAACACTTGCAGACTTTTTGGCTCTGCCTAAGTGAGGAACTAAGAGCGCACCTTGCCCAGAGGCAAACATGTTGCAACATAAAACGCAAAGAGCTTGAAAGAAAAATAGAAGCATTAAAGACACAGCTCTTTATGTGCCCTAGAGGAAGAGGAGAAACTGGCAAGACCTTTGTAAGACAACTCAGGGAAGACTCATTTGACACAACCATGATGACACTCATATTATTGGTATTAAAAGTCTTGACTTGTCACGAAACATACTTTGCTACGGATGTAATTAAATAATGGACAATATATTTTAGTACCAACAAGGAGACAAGTTCACATTTAACGTGTGTTATTACACATTTTCCGAACAGGACAGTTAATTCAGAGTCAGCTCTTTGAGCATGGTAAATATCTTATATGAAAAATAAATTAATCAATGTTTGTATATACAAAAGAGGACAACTGGTAAAACAATCACAATTGCTGCTCAACAGCAATTATCTCAAAGATGAACCTGGTCATATGTGACAATTAAGATGGTAATTCAGCTGGTTCGTATAACACAATAGTGTGGCGACTGTAGACGAAAACTAAATTCTGCAGTTCCTTGACTATAAAATCACTTGTGCTGCCGTCCTTATCTCTTGACTATGTTCTTGTTCTGAAAGAGCACAGGGGGGATTTACCCCGTCAGGATTTCACAATAACGTTTGTGGTCACTGGAAATCTGTAGGAGAGAGAAAAAGTCCCACTTAGCAGCAGGAGGATGACAGCTACAACCCCCATAGGAATGGCAGCACCAGCCTCCTGGGCCGCTGGGCTGGAGGGCATGTGGTAAGAAGGAGGAAAAGTGATGCTCTGGTTGTGTGTTACGGAATAGAAATTCCAGCTCACGGGAATCAGGATGCACAGACCAGCCAATAAGTAGAAGCAGCCACCCACCAGGAAGAAACGGGTGATGAGAGTTTTGTGAGTGATCCCCATATAAATATTTCTCAGAGCAAATATCGTGGCAGTCAGTCCCAGCAAGCCCATGAACATGGCGATCAACAGGAGACCCTGAGCAGCATAAATTTCAGGGGGGATGGAGGAGTCATAGCCACTGAATTTATGGCAGAACTGTTCTTTATAGCCGGGCGAGACGTGAAGGTAACTGATGAAGCAGACTTTCCAAATCCCCACCCAGGCAATGCCAGAGGAGATGACGGTGGTGTTGTCCAAGTGCCACACTCTCCATTCCACAGTTCCCATTGAAACAGTGCACAGGATCCAGCCTACCGTACCCAGAGCTAAGGCAGCTAGCTGGAGGTGCGAGGTGCTGACCAGGGAGCTCATCCTCTGGAGGTCTTCTACTCTGTCACAGACACGGTTGCCATGCGAAGAGAGGCAGGCACTGGAGAGAAACATGGTATAGAATTATGAAGGTAATTATCATTTGGGTGAATAGGTGAACCTGTTAGTGAAAAAGAAAAAGCCGGAGAGAATATGTGAGGATGGTAGTCATGTTTCCCCAACAGCAATGAATTGTTGAATGTCTGTAGACAAGTAACATCTAGGTTCGAATTCTGTATATGTCATTGTAGCACAAAGGAGAAGAAAAGGTCTCTGCTTAGCTCCCGTGACAATCTTCTTTTTACATTCACAAAAGGAAAATTCTCATCTTTTTCCAAGTTATTTTCTTCCTTGATAATTAACCATTATGTTCAAAGATCCTTATACAAGTTACATATAATCAGGAGCCCTAGGGTTACTGGCTAGTAGAAACTAAATCTGACAAAATCCTCAGGCTCCTGGCAGTCGCAGGAGATTCTGCGAAGCAGCCGCAGAAGCCACGCTCCTCTCTCCTGGCAGCTGTGTTTTCGGTGCAACCTGAACAGACCTCTGCTTTTGTGCTGCCCTTGCCCAGCGCTGCTGGGGCCAGCGTTAGACAGAAAACGCCGTGCTTCAGAGGCAAGAACAAATCCAGGCCACAAAGTCTAGCAACGACCACTGAACTTTGACAATTTTTAGATTATTTAACCATGAAAGCATTAGCAGAAACACTTGAATTAATCAGAAGTGTAACGCTCCGTGCAGGGGCTGGAGCCTGGATGCACTGCCGTTGCGTTCCCACCCTCAAACTTTAACTAAGATTTCTTTAGTGTTTCACCTTTGCAAATCATACTCGTTCATAACCTGCTCAGCTTCTCCAGTTCAAATCATCCTAACGCTGCGGTGGAAAAGATTTTAGTCATTTAGCCTAGCAAAGGATTTTAGATCTGTTTGCTGACTGTGCCTTCTAAGTGGAAATGGGGGTTTTATTCTAATTAAAAAAAAAATCTGTTAATTTCCCATGTCTTTCACATAACCTTCTGAACAATTATAGGGATGATCTGTGATCAGACAAGATGGGGCCTTGAACTTACTATGTAGATCTGAAAAGTTCTAGGGGACCTTTGTGTTTTGTGCATTATCTAAAATACTTTTTCTCCTGCTCCCGTTGCATTCAAGACTGAAGAAATACTGCACCAAGATCACTCTAATAAAAAGAAGATAGTTCTGCAACTATGTTTTTTTACTAAAGCAATAAATTTTCTGTTTACTTATATTAAACTAACAGATTCAGTTGGTGATACAATCTGGTTGCACAAATCCATCTATGGAAATTTTAAATTAAAAGTATCTTTATAACAATATGGCCTTAAGCAAACACAGTGCGTCTTTTCATACCAGTGCCTACTATATGCTTACTTCAACCTGATGCCAGTGACAGTCTATCTTAGACTCGATATCAGGAAAAATTTCTTTATGGAGAGAGCGGTCAAGCATTGGCACAGACTGCCCAGGGAAGTGGTGGAGTCACCGTCACTGGAAGTGTTCAAAAAATGTGTGGACGTGGCACTTCAGGACGTGGTTTAGTGGGCATGGTGGTGTTGGTTTGATGGTTCGATGTGACGATCTTGAAGGTCTTTTCTAACCTTAATGATTCTGTGATTCTGTGATAAGAGGATGAGACATAGTGGTTTTGACACCAGGCAAACATGGCAACATCAGCAATTTTGGCCTCCCAGTTCATCTATGTATCTCCGACAGGACTGATTTCCTGTGGGACATATTAATCTCCATTATTGCAAATGTACAGTTAATCCTTTCCTGCATGGCGGAAATTGCTCCGGAATAGCCTCCTGTGTTTTTATCTACTTAAAACGCAACCGATTTACAAATGCTTTCTCAACCTGCTACATTATTTACAAAGCGATTATAACCCCCGATCTAATTAACAGCTGTTACCAGCCATGGAGCGTGGTTAGAGCATAGAGGAGGTTACGGACGGTTTTCTTTCCGTCCCCGTTTCACATCAAAATAGCGTCGTTCCTGTACGTGTCTAGCGGTGGGAAGGTGCTGGAGAGAAAAGAGCGTGATCAAAGGAGTCCTGCGCCGACTCCCTTCTGCTTCCGTTTGAGTCGGCTGAGCGCACGGAGACCGACCCGAACCGTATTAAAATACCGTTTTGCGCAGAGCCCATATTTCTGTCACACTTTCCATATATATCACAAACATTCATTTAAACAACTTGTTGACATCAAGGTCGTAAAAGATAGGCAAGCAGGCCGGTCCGTGTCACTGCGAGCTGTTTGGAGTATGATATCAGCGTATATCTCCACGGATTGAATTTACTCACCTGTCTTCCCACAGAATTAAATGTGATCGTATCTGTGATTACTGAGCCCTCTATCAAACCTTCATGTGCTACGTTACTTAGAATGGTGTCCAGAATTGAGTTATAAAATTAAAAATTAGGAAAAGATTTTTTTTACCCCCTGCGATTCACAAAAGACACAGAACAAGTGAACACGCAGGATGAAAGAATTCAAGGCTTATACAAAAATTCTGAAAACATTGGAAAATGAAAAAACCAGCTAACAAAGACAGGCTTCAGATGAGGTACCAAATGTCTAGACACAAAAAATTGCTTATGTAGGAAATGATTCATTTTGGCTCATTTCTCCACACCCTGCCCACCGGAACTTACTTGATCTAACCTGATAGTACTGACTGATTTAGAGGAAAATCAAGGTGAAAAAGAAGTACTTCTGAATTACAGTTATCATACTGGCTTGTTTTAGAAAAATCAGACAGAAGCCTATACTTATGTCCTCTCAGTGTTAAGATTCTTGGAAATAAGAAAATTAAGAATAAATTAAAATAAATTAAAGAAATAAGAAAATAAGGAACAAAATATGAAGGTGAAATAGTTGCGGGAATTTGCTTGTCTTATTATTAAGGCAAATTAAAACAAAGATCTAGTTCCTGATTCCAGCCTCTATCGTTACAAATATTAATAATCACATTATCGGTTTTGCTGGTATCAGCAAATGAGAACAGATGCATATCGCTTGCCCAGACGCCTTGATTTTAAGGTAAGACTTTGGGATAAGAACATATTTAGTCTCAAGTTTCTGACATAAACCCTAAGCCTGAGCACTGCCGCAGGTCGCAGCATCCACGGCACCTCGGGCACGCCGTGGGACATCCCACGAGGGGTCCAGCCACGGCACCAGGCGCGGTCACGCAGTGTGCCTGCCAGCGGGCAAAGGGTGTCAGGGAAACTCCTTTTCCCCAAAATGTAGCGAGATAGATACGTTTATTTTTTCAGGACTGCTGTAGCAAGCGCTCCCCCCAAAATAAAACGTTTCTCTTGCAGATGCCAGGTAAACCCGGGAGTGAGCTGCAGAGGGCGTCTCCCGCCAGGATTTCACCCACCGCAGCGGCGGGCCTGCTGCGGGAAGGGGCAGGGGAAGGGGAGCTCACAGCGAGAAGCGCTGCAGGGCCCTGCGCTGGGGCCGAGAGCAGGGCCAGGCTGCAGCAGCCCCGTTCACACGGCACCCACTGGTCGCCTCAGCAGCCGGGTCCCCTGAGCGATGTGTGGGCCGGGGTGCCCCCACACAGGTCCCCATCCGCTGGAGGTGATGCAGGTGTCGAACCCGCCTCTGATACCAGCAGTGACCTTCCCGTAGGTTTCAAAGACAGACAACCCCTTTGGAAAGGAATTTGATCCATCGCTAACTTGTCATTCGCACGATAAAAGAAGATACCTCTTTTTTTAATAAAACCTTTTGGTCCCTGTGCAAATGCCCTTTCCAGACTTCTAAAGAAAAATGTGGAAGTTCAGTCCCTGTATGTTTAGAGCTATATTGGATAAAACACAGTTCAAAGCCCAGATCATACGGCAGTCTGTGCTAACACGGACGTTGTGTTATTGGCATAATCTGTTGAATCGTAGAATAGAATCAGAGTAATTTGGGTCAGAAGGGACCTTTAAAGACCACCTAGTCCACCCCCTGCAGTGAGCAGGGACATCTGCAACCAGATCAGGTTGCTCAGAGCCCCGTCCAACCTGACCTGGAATGTTGCCAGGGATGGGGCATCTACCACCTCTCTGGGCAACCTGGGCCAGGGTTTCACCACCCTCATGGTGAAAAATGTCTTCCTTGTATCTAGTCTAAATCCACCCTCTTTTAGTTTAGAACCATTACCCCTTGTCCTATTGCAACAGGTTCTGCTAAAATGTCTGTCCCCATCTTTCCTATAGGCCCCCTTTAAGTAGTGGAAGGCTGCAGTAAGGTCTCCCTGGAGCCTTCTCTTCTCCAGGCTGAACAACCCCAAATCTCTCAGCCTGTCCTCACAGGAGAGGTGTTCCATCCCTCTGATCATTTTTCTGTCCCTCCTCTGGTTTCATTGGCTGGTTTCATGCTTTTGTAATTATATAAATATTATGAATTAATTTAATCAGTATAGTAAGATTACCTGCATGGTCTGAGTAATACAATGATGTAACATGATCACTATCTGAAATTTCCTAAGGCAAATGAACTCATTCAGTCAGCTACAGGAGGTCTTCTGAATAATTAGTTGGCATTACTGGCATGTGGTTCTTGATTTGGAATCTCGCTTGGAGCTGCAGATCTCAGCATTCAAAGTTTGCATGCCAGCTATTTCGTGGGATGGAGGTAGCCTACAAGGGCAATCCAAGCTAGGTCTACGTGGTATGTATGCCTGTGGACAAAAAGCAGGACTGAAAACCTTTTCACCCAAAGAAGCAAGAGAAGTGTGTTAAGAGGCAGCTACGGTTCCATCTCTTTGTGTCCCATGATTTCATCAACATTTTCATTTGAAATCAATTCCGTCCAATACAACAAGCATTCCAGCAGCTTCTGGAGACAGTCTTTAGAAAGTCTAGAAGCAATGGCGAAAAAAGGAGAGCTGCTTCTACAGGCTTCTGACCTGGTAGTCATTTGCTGTCATTTTCTCTCTTAATACATCTTTCATTTCCTTCATTTGGAAGGGCTTTCCTTCATGGATGTATTTTTAACTAAATACCCTACCTGAGTAAAATAAAAATGTAAACCTGCTAGCATTCAATGGGA